TCTCCATTTCCTAGTTGGATGCTGGTCCTGCGTGGCTGGGCCGGGCGGCGGTCGGTATCGAACCTGGCCATCGGGTATATAGCAGTCGTAACGGCGTTAATGCCTGATTTTCAATGGACCGCGTCACAATTTATTGGTGGAGGCGTAATGCGATTTGCGTTGTGGTGTGAGCCCGCCCTCCTCCACCCCTACCCTGCAGACGAGCGGGTACACTACTGCAGGGTTTGCGCAAGCTAACTACTTGTCTTGCGTGCGGGTTTGTGCTGCGTTCCATTTGTTGTTTTTTTCCTGCCCGGTATCTCTAAACAGTCTTGTACAAACTTGTTGTTATTCAGCCGTATTTTCGTCCATTTCGTTTATGACCAAACGGTCTAAATGATAGCTTGCAATTGCGGAAGCTGGTTCTTTTTAGACAGGCTCCACCAGAAGGCGAAGACTCTGTACGCTTCTTTCTTCGTTTTTGTTTTTTATTGACCTTAGAACGTCTTCTGACTAACTCTTGGAGTAGGTGCCAAGGTAAACGATGGATGCTCCACTCCATACACGTCGACAACGCTTTAGAGGCTGTCCTATTACTGCCCATTCATTTTAATCATTTCCAGGTAAATCAACTGTTATTTGAGGAATGTGACGCAACATTCGTTTCAATGTGAATCATGTCACTTTCGTCAGAACATTGTGTCAAATTGTTTTGAACGCAACGCAGCCTGAATTGACGCTGAAGATGGCGGCAAGCTTGACCGAGTCACGTTTAAACGAATGTGACAAAATATTCCAACGAAACGCGACATGAATCACATTATAACGAATGTGACGTCACATTCCCTGAATGACAGTGATCCCAGGATAACCTAGCTTCACGGCGCCCTTACACTCCAGGCATCCAGCCATCATGGGCAACGTCCCCGTCTACCGGGTAGCGATGTGGATGCAATCGTAGCAGCAGCCCGGCGAGCCCGGTGGGGCTGAGGAGAGGAAGGGGAGCCCATGGTTGTTTACAATCGGCCGGCCGGAGCCAGGGTCCCTTCGGAGAGACTGCCTCCCCCAGCGGCGCTTCACCGGCATTCCTCCCCTCTAACCGTTTGAACGGGGCGGGCATAACGAGAGGCCCCACCGCGCCCCACCCCGCCCCGCCCTGTTCCGTCCCGTGCCCATCCTGGTTAGTGGCCGGTGACAACAATGTCATTGCAGGGGGCTCCTTGCTGCTACAGCCAGCCCCGCCCGCCCGCCTGTTGGGGAGGGGGTGTTATTGAACTGCTTCATCGGCCTCGTTCTGTTGGCGATGGGCGAGTGGGGGCGGGGCGGGCGCGGCAAGAGGAAGGATCCAAGAGAGGAAGGAAGAGGAGGTACATGTGAGGTGGGGAATGGCGTGTAGCGAAGGGGATTGGGCGGGCGGTGATGTCTCAGCGCAATGTCTCGTCCAGGATCTCCCCGCATGGCTGCAAACGAATGCGAGCTCTTCGTGATGCAGTAGCTCTTGATGTCTGATTATATGAGCTACGAAAGGCCCACGAACCCATGGGATTCGCATGTAGGCGATAGTTATTGCGTGCACAACCATTTATTTTTAACCCCCGTTCGATATTGGGGGTGTTGTGTTTGCAGCTTTGCAGTGTACGCCATACACGAAGCCGCCGGAATAGGAAAGGAATCCGGGGGGTGTTTGGCTCGCGTGCGCCCCCGGCGAAGGCAGTGGCGGGGCGGGGTGGGGCGGGCGGGGTGCATGAGTGAGCGGCCGTGTGATTGAATAGCGCACACATCCAGATTGCATCGCACGTTTACGTGCCCCATCCTTTATTTTACGCGGTTCTCGTGCGCGTCAGATACCCTGCCAAGGAAGACGAAGACGTCCTTCGCGCAATTTTTCTAAAGCAAGACATGAAATTTTAGGGATTTATCAGTTTTTAGTTTTGTATTCTCAATTCTATTTCTCTATTTAATACTACCCCGCGTACTTTAGTGGTTCACTGGTATGTACGTACATGTGTGCACTGCAGGCAGATTACTTACGAAGTGCGGCCGGAGCCAGGCATTTAGTAAACATTTATGCCCGGTAAAAACGAGTCCTGGGATTCCCAGGAGAGATGAGACCCCAGTGGATGCCCTGGAAACAAGCAGATATTTACAGCGGAGCTGTTGGAAACGCCGGAACATCCCCTGGGAGAATTGCACGTTTCCAGGTCATCCTTTGGAACTCTTCCAACTTCCCTTGGAAAATGAAGAAAACTCCTGGGAATCCCGGGCTCGTTCTTACCGCGTATGCAAGTTGTACAAGACGCATTTTTCTAAAAATATAAGAGTAGCTAGGAGGTATTCACGTGCTAGTTGCGTATTTTTTCGTGCGAGGGAAATGGGGGGTTGGGAGGTCGGCAGACGGCGGTGACGACTCTGCAGGAGAGTGTCGTAAAAAGCGATTTATTCAACACCCTTTAGTGCTTTGGCCGAGAGGGTACATTGTAATTAGCTCTGCAGTCGTTTGGCACCCGGCCGCCTCGTGTCGCACACTCATGAGGTGGCGGCGAGCCAGGCGGCGCCGGGCGGAGCGGGGCGGGCAAACTCGCACTCTTATCTCTTGACACTTTTAACTTCAGCGTGAGTTGTCGGTCAAGGCGCTACTCGGGCTGGTCATGGCTTTAGCTCTGTGGCAATGTGATTGTCCCTAAATACACGTACTCATTGTTGTTATTTCAAACTACGAGTAAAAGTGGCCTGCCTTGAAATTACCGCGCAGCTCGAGAGCCACGATTGCATTCTTTTGGCCCAGAAGTGGTCATACCCAAGCAGACGGTCTTGCCGCGCAGGGTTCGCATGCAAGCAGGTAGGGGCCTGTCTCTCGTGACGTGCCGTGCTAACGTGTGGGATTGGCTCTAGCTCTGCCCTTGCCCGATCGCCTATTTCTCCCTTTTCTCCCAGCCCCCCCCCCCCCTTTCCCTACTCTCTTTCGCTACTGATTCTGTTGTGGGCCGTTTACGCCAGCGCTGGTTTATTTTAATCAAGTTTGTCCAACAAAACTTGGGAGCGCTCCTCCTTTTTCAGCCGCCCAGATTAACACTTCTTACTCCACCCCTCTCTGCTCATTTCAGCCGAGTATTCCCGAGGGTTTAATTATTGGTCGCGCTGCAAGCCACGCCGCCCCCTAAAGGCGGAGGGGTGGGGGAGGGGCAAGGTCGAACAAAGCAGGTCGTCCAACGGGTCAGTTCAAACTAAATGCCTTGTGTCTTGTTCTAAATGGAGGTGTGAACAGGACTTCACAGAGCAGCCCGATGTGCCGGCTGCTCAAATGGACCTATCGCAACCAAGAGTGATCCTAGGATGGCTTCAGGTTATAAGGTGCCGATGCGGGGGAGGGGGCGTGTGCGGAGCGGAGTGGGACTTGGCAAGTGTCTGGGCGACGAGAATGGCCGTCTAAATGAGTTTCGGAAATTGCATGAGTTGGGCGATCCAGTGGGTGATAAATACTTGACACGAGGGCTGGAGAGGCAGGGGAGGGGGGTGCGGGGGGGATGCCGGCTACAGGGAACTCGAGGGTGGGGACGGAGTTGGCAAGGAGGACGGTCAGAGAGCGCGGCGTCGAGGTGTCTGGAAGTCCGATCAGCTATCGAGGCGGGTCCCTATGGCCCTCCCGCAGGCGCTGCCCGCCGCCCTCGGCAAGGCCTTTGGTGACGCCGAGGCGATAAAAAGTGGTGCCGCGCTAAGGGAGGACGGTGCGGTGACCTAAATGAATATTTGCGACTGGCTGTCGGCGGCGCGCCGGAGAGTGCTTCTTTCATTTTGTTTGAAAAGTGTATTCACCGCCAGCGTGTCGGTGTCGGTACCCACAATGCGAACTCATTCCCCACCTCACGGCAAACATTTCGTTCCTGGAAACAAAATCCTGAAAACCTCGTGCAATTCAATAGACGGGTGGGCGGCGGGTCAGGCTGTTCCTGCTGTGGAG